ATTCTGTGTTTTTCTGTCAATATGGGGTGCTGTGTGTACATTAATGAGGAAAAAAAATTAACTTAAATGATTTTAGCAAATGGCTGCAATATAACAGAGTGAAAAATTTAAGGGGGTCTGAATACTTTCCGTACCCACTGTATATAGCCTATACCATTAAAAGGTTTAGATTTGACACTTGAGTTTTCATGGTGATGATAATTCCTGTTTTCCCATTTGTAATGGGAAGGTTGAAGGGGACACTTGGTTTCTGCTTACACATGCATGTCCTTGCGGTTGACTGCATTTTTTAATTGTTGTTCTGTGTGCGTATACTGTAGATGGATGTCTTTGATTGTTGTGAGCAGCCCCTTACCTGTTCATAATTCTGAAAGCAGCAAACAATCCCAGCAGTTTTTCTGACCCATTGGTTTAGAAATAAACAAACTCTGACTCGATCGTGCTTGTGTTCATCACTCATTTTTATTAATTGTGCCAAATGACCTACGTTGCTAGACTAGCTTTATATTTAAGCAGCTTGGTCCAAATGTGATTAAAAACAAGCCTTTTGGGTAACTTTTTGCATCCATCTTCATCTATGACTCCTCTTGTCCACAGGTGACCACCCTGGTCAACACCAGTAACAAAGGCCCATCCAGTAAGAAAAAGGGACGCTCCAAGAAAGCTCATGTGCTGGCTGTGTCTGTGGAGCAGGCGACCCAGAACTTTCTAGAAAAGGGTGAGCAGATTGCTAAGGACAGCCAGGACCTGAAGGAGGAGCTGATCGCAGCTGTAGAGGACGTTCGCAAGCAAGGTGAGCAGCCTGTTATCACTCTGAGATACTGTCCCAAACAAAATCTGCTGCTTATTTGTTTCAACGTCCCACCAAGCAACCAAACATGTACTTATATTAAACCTCCAAGGATGGTGTGGCATAGTGGCTAAAGCTCTGTCTGTTAGTTATGTTTGGCTTCTTGAGAGAGGTCATGTGGGAACTAGTGAGACGTCTTTCACATTATCTGACCCTAAGAGACATTAACATGCCAATTTGCTGTGGGCTTTAGCGTTTCGCCCATGTGCTGCAGTTTGTAGACAACTAAGCTAAAGTTTTCTTTTCCTTCTTCACCTATAAGTCCTGCCTATTATTTACAGCCCTTATCTGGCAGCACATTACACACACTCTCTCTTACCAAGTTTTCTCTCCTTTCCTTTCTTTAATGACTGGACTGATATTAGTGTTTGCTCAGCCAAATTACCTCTATGAAAATGGCAAACAGTTATTGATGGTGTTTCTCAGAGCATTCATCATCCCATAAACACAGCCAAAGAGCAATTATGAGCTTGTGGAGAAGAGAAAAAAGCCACTTTTAAACCCCAAAAGCTGAAATGTATTAGCTGTCATTGTATCGTATTAATAATAATCTATTTTCTCTTTTTTTTGTGGTTTGTTTTGAGGACTCTTTGATGAGGTAATGAATGTGAAATCTTAATTTAATTTGTTTAGTTTGGTGGTGGATTCAATTACTTGCTAATATGATATTAATGGGAGTCTGGGGTGATTCTCTTTCTCTTTCTGGGAATTTAAATATGAACTAATTCAGAGGAAAACAAAGAAGAATATCAGTGTATGAGAACATTATTATTTTTTTTTACAGTTCTCACAGAACCTGGAAATATTGGGAAACTTTAAAATAAGGATTTTCAGGCATGTAAAAGTCATGAAATATAATAACATATAATTATAATGTTAAGTTACTGTCATGTAATACAATATTACTTCCCCCCCCCCTGTATTTTTGTTTAAAATGTAAAAAATCATTACTTATGGCAGTATATATTTTTCCACAGGTATGCAGTCATATCCCTGTTCACTGAGTTTTTAAAGGGGTCATATGATGCGATTTCAATTTTTCCTTTCTCTTTGGAGTGTTACAAGCTCCTGGTGCATAAAGAAGATCTGTAAAGTTGCAAAGACTAAAGTCTCAAATCCAAAGAGATATTCTTTATAAAAGT